TATATAAGCATATATACACTTACAAATCTATAGATACGCACATAAAAAAACTGCTAACAATTAAACATAAACTAGGCCTGAAAGAAGATTACAAGATTTTGTCGTCAGAACCTTATAAAGTACGAACAAGCAAAATAAAGACAAGTATATTACAATATATTATATACATATATAAAAAACATATTTAAAAAAAAAAAAAGTTTTAAAATCCAAGTTTTAAAAACAATTTTCAAAATATTATAGGTATCAAGTGAAAGAATACATTTTTTTAGAGCTTGAAAAAGTAAAAGTTGGTAGATCAAAATACCTCAAAACAATATTAATCCATAGGTGGGGTCCACGATAAGCAATACAAAATTGATTAAACTTGTGTGCCAAAATGAATAATTTAAAAAATATATGTTTCTTATATTGTATTTGTTGTTAGGTTTGAGTTGAAAAAGTGCTAATATAAACGGTAGGGTATAAAATTAATTTCTCTTAATATACAAAAAATAAAAACTTGAATATATTGACTTCAAATAATTTTAATAATCTCACATCAGTAAAAAAAAAAGTTTTGTATGCATAAAACGATCAGCACTGTTAATTATGTGGATCGCATGTTTTTGACGACGATAAAGTGGTTTTAACTTACTATTTACATGACTCCCCTTAGCAGTGTTAGCAAAAATTATGTAACTCTAGATAAAAGAGTATCAAAGTTTGCTTTTGAGGATCACTTCTTTGACCTTTAGGTTGGAACTATTACCTGAAAATATAATTTTACTTTAGGTGTTATTTTATTTTGACATTTAGGTTTTAGTGCCGTTAGGCGTCAACGGGTTACTAGTAAAGCGTGTTCGAGAAAAAAGTTTTTTTGCATGATTTTAAGCAAAAAAAGTGCAAAAAACGAAATGGAAGTTTTTTTATTTTTTATTTGTAAGATAGTTTGTAAGATTTTTAGAATTTTATAACATGATAAATTAGCTTAAAGTAAATGGAAATTTCATATTTTCCATTTTTCCTAACTGGAAGCACTGCATAAAATGTAAATTGATTTAAACACGAAGTAAATATTTTGTTTCATTCATAGTATTGTTTTCAACGGAGTATTAAGGAATGGCATGTTTTGATAGGTTGTATTAATTACAAAGTCAAAAATGGCTGGTTGATTGAATACTCCGTTCCATACCTCGTTCCCAACCACTGAGTTGATTTAAACGACGCACAGTGACTCAGGACAATCAAAAAACGGCAAAAATTAAATAAAATTTGACATAAATCGTAAATAAATAATGTTGTATATTAAAATAATAATTTTTAAGCCTAAGATTTCAAATTTGTTAATAATTTTTTTTAACGCGCAGCTTCGACGCGTAAAATGCGCGCATACGCGTGTTAAAGGTACGCGTACAAAGTTTTTTTTCAAGTTTTTAGAATCTTTAAGACAAACACATAATTTTGATATATTACTCTACTTGATATTTTTATAAAAATGGTTTTTAAAGGATGTTGATACATAGAGAAAAAATACTGTATTTTTTTACATTAGATTTATTATTTACATTACAATTAATTTAAATAACTTCATCTGGTAACGGTTTTCCTCGATAGCTCTTATGTTTTCTAAAAGATATGCTTGATATTTTTAGATCTGATCTTACTAGAAGGTAGTGCATCTAATTCATCATTGTGTTTAACCTTGATATTTTTGCCGTGTGCCTAAGTCTAGAATTTCTTATCTGTTTATTTAAACTCTCTAGTGCATCTTCCGAATATACCCCGATTGGCAAAGGTAATTTATTTGATATAGAAGAACTATGCAGTAGCAGTTTATGTACAGTAGGAGGCATAACATACCAGTTGTATAAAATTACTATACGTTTAGCTGTTTCAGTGCAGTATAAATCTAATTCATTGATATTAATAGGATATCCACAAGATATGGTTATGAGAATATTATGCAATCTTTTAATTATATCACAATCAACTTTAGTAATTTCAGAAAAAACTTCACTATTTTTAAATGCTCTTCTGGCAGTGTTGCCGTCATTCGTGTTTCCAGACCCAGTTTCAAAACGTCTTTAAGGTATTTATTGGATTTTTTAGATCTGATTCTTCTTTGCTCGATAAAATTGGACTCTTTTTTTTATATTGTAGATGAAGAGGTCTACAAAAGTGACAGCTTGAAGGATTTTCATTTTTCCAAATTTTGCCATCTTCTACTTTGAGCAACAAAGGCACAAAAGCTGTACTGAAAAGATTTTCTTCATGCTTAAGTTCTATACTTGCGTTGGTTGTATTGTATTTCTGTTTATAAATACTTTGGCTCGGTGCTCCATCAAAACCTTTCCATATAAAACTCCAAATATTTCATCACTTTGACCAAAACTATGCATATCAATCACTTCTGTTATTCTACTCACAGTGTGATCTAACATGCTTTGAAGAGTACACTTTGCAGAAATTTCAGAAAAGTGTATATTCTCAGGATAGCATTTCAATTTTTCCACGAAAATATCGTGCAAGGTAGGATATATTTGTACGTTGTGTACAAGAGCTGAGTTTCTGATCATTTGATATTGTTTATTGCTGAGATCAGTATTCATTTTTAATGCAAGAGCATCCTCTACACTCATCTTAATGGGAAAGGTTTTATCCAAAGTTTTATCAACTTTTTCTATCTCTAAAACACTAGATATATTGTTTTTTAAAACAGAGCTAAAAAAAGAGCTTCATGATGTTCAGTAGCTAGTTCTTTTTTTTTTTTCTTTTGTTTCTCTCTCCAAGAACACTCCATTGTTTATGGGGCCTTCCAGAACCAAAATGGCTTTGAAGCCAACGATTTTCTTTTTGTATAAATGTATCATAGTTTCGTCCACATTGTTTTAGTTTTTTCTTTGCCTTTGAAATAAATATAACTAAAGAAAGCTTAACTTTATTTAAGTTTTCTTTGCGATTTTTTTTAGTATTTTTTATTTCATTAAGTAAATCCTTCCATAATTTTAATTTATCAACTCCTAATTCACGTATATTTGGGATAAGATCTAATCTTTTCATTGTTATCGTTTTTAAGAACCATCAATATAATAAAACTAATATATTAGACACATTTTAAATTAAATTACATATTTTTTTACTTTACACTGTTTCAAATTTTATCTTGTTATGACTTTTAACAATTTTCACATTGTTACATCCTGTATTAACACATATTACTTAGTTAACTTTATATTACATGTAATATAAAGTTAACTAAGTAACATGTGTTATTACAGGATGTAACAATTTGGTATTTCTTGAAACGGAAAATACCAAAGTTGTTCAATTAAGTTTTTTCAAACATGTATTACTTATCGAATAATAAATCGTTCTTTAAAATTGTCAATAAATATTTTAACAAACTTTTAAATAGTATATAATGACAAAAGCACGTTTTTTAAAACTATATTTAATATTTATGATTTAAAAACTATATTAGAACAAGTTTTACAAGCAAGAAACTTAACTTTAAGTTTTCCGCCAATTTCATTTGTTTTAATATAATAAAGTTCTTAGCAAAATGGCGGAAAACAAGGTTTTTATAAAATCATCAACATTTGTTTTTATTTAATAACTTCCAATACCGCAGGAGACCACAGTAATCCATTCCTAAAGTAGAAATGTTAATTAACTGGAATATATATATATATATATATATATATATATATATATATATATATATATATATATATATATATATATATATATATATATATATATATATATATATATATATATATATATATATATATATATATATATATATATATATACAAGGCCGGCGCGATAGGGGGGTGTGTGACACCCCCCATCAATGATTTTTAGCCGGCAAACTGGACCCTTAGTCGGCAAATTGGATCCTTAGTCGGCAAATTGGACCTAGTTAGTCGGCAAATGTGGACCCCCTTTCGATATAGGTTAGACAGTCGGCTAATGTCGTCATGACAGTCGGCAAATTTTGGAAAACGAGGACCCTTTTTTTTTTTTTTTTTTTTTTTTTAGTCGGCAAAAGTTGTAATGGCACCCCCACCCCCCACGTGACACCTACTCGCGCCGGCCCTGTATATATATATATATATATATATATATATATATATATATATATATATATATATATATATATATATATATATATATATATATATATATATATATTTGTGGAACTCGGTTGAACATTTTTTTTGCTGATATATAAACAAAAAAAAAAAACAATCATTTTCTACTTTTTTTAGAGAAGTCTTTAAATTTAAACGAAAAAATCAGACTTTTTTTTTTCTTTTTAGTATATTTGAAATATATAGAGTAAAAATATTATTTTAAAAATAAATATCCCCTTAATTTAAATTTCATGTTCTCTAATTTAGTTGAATAAAAACCTCACATTTTTCAGATTTCTTTAAAAATAATATCAAATTTTTTCACTTCTTTTACCTATGAAATATAAAATAAAAGCTTTATGAAAAAATTATTTTTACTTTTGAAATAAAAAATCATTGTCTTTTAATATTATCTAACAAAGGGCACTTAATTTATAAAAAAGTGGTGAGGGGTTTATTGCCATTTTGTTGTTGTTTTGAGTCACTGTCCGACGTTTACATGCTAAATCATAAAAAATAACTTAATTTTGGATGTTTAGCTTGTTTTGAAATTTCTTTCGATAAAAAATTTGTTTTATGTAAAATGATTATAAGTTCTGTTACAAATTAAAAATATAAATATAAAAGTCGAATTAATAATAATGTTAAATAAATTGATATAAACCAACAGCAACAGCCTTTGTTGAATCAAAGCTTCAATGTTTTATAACTGTTTTTTTGTAATTAAAAAGTGAATTTCACTCAATATTCTTAAAATAAAATAATTTTTAAAGTTTTACATTAACGTTTAGTAAGTTTAATAAGGTTTTATCGAGTGGAGAATCGGGACATGTGGCCCAGCTGATCCACCCTCTAGTCTAGTAACAACTCAATGCAACTAAGGCCTGGTACACGTTTTTTCGAACAAAAATGTAAGATTTTTCAATTGCAATATATGTAAATTTTTTTGTCAAAAAGTATGACATGTTTGGTATGTTTGGAAAGATTTTTTTAACCACTATTATAATCTGGTAAAAGTAATGCGACTTTAACAAATCGTCAAGCGTAGTTTTATTTAGAAAAGATGTAATTTTCAACATAAAGTACCGTGGGGCTTGGCTATAGATGAGTCTATAAATTTGATTTTTTCATAAAAGCATGTCTTGGTGTTTGTTTTCAATGAATGTAACGTGACATTTACGATTAGACATTATTTGGGGAAAATATCCATGAAAAACTATTTTTTTATGAAAATTGAAGTTAATATTTTCAATACCACACCTAAATGAATAATTTTAACAATAATGTCAAATTAGATTCAGATAAACTATGGTAGTGTTAATGTTTCTGCAAAAGTCGTTTTTACATAAATATTCACAACTTTAAGCCCCAATTAAAAAACTGTTTTCGGTATTTAGTTTCATTTTTTGAAATACTCGGGACTTATTCGGCATCTTAAAAAAATAATTTATTCCATTCAGCAGAATGCGTCAACAATTTGAAAAAAGAGGCGGTAAACTTTATAAACAAGTTAGTTTTGATTTTCATATCAGCAGCATATAAACTTTATAAACAAGTTAGTTTCATTGCTTCTAAAAATAAATGCAATCAACTTTTTAAATTAAAGTATGGAATGACTGTGATATCAGTTGATATAATATTTTTTACTCTTTAAACTTTATAGATCATCACTATGTCTATAATAGATCCATTATCGTGTGGTTATGTCAAAGTTATTGTGTTTAACCTGCTGATGTCAAAGGCTTCCTTACAGCAAAGAATTGATGAATATAATTCAATATTCAGCTGTCAAAAAGAAAATTTTGCTGTCTCTAATGATATCCATCGTCGAAATTTTCCTAAGATTAAGGCAAAATTATGTTATCTTTCTAAACGACATAGTGCAAAAAAGAAGATAATAATGGACACATTTTCTTTAAATGCATGGATTAAACTTAGTTTAACAGAAAAATGTCGACACAGGTTTTCCAACTGTCAAGAGTGTGTTAAGCTTAATGCAAATGTGTTATCTTTAATCCCAACAAACACTAAGTTTTACAAAAAAAAAGCAAGTTATCTTTTGTCAAATGAAATCGCAACTGGAAACAAAGAAAATTTAATAAGTTGCGCAAGTACTTTATTGGATGAAGCAAATAGAAAATTTAAAAAACAATACTTTATGCCAATAACAAATGCAATACCCCTCATACCTGATTCAAACTTAATTCAGAAACCATCAAGAACTGACATAAAAAAATTACGCAATAAATATGCAAGGTTATTCAAATGCAGTGTTGAAAAATGCTTTGAAGAAACAGCAGCTGTAAGGTACATAATCTTTAAAAAGCTAAAACCGTTTTTTATATAACTTTATTTAGTAGATTCAAATTGAGATTTTGTATTTTCCAAATTGAAAAATCCTCTTAAATAAATAAAAATATTTTATTTATAGGGCATTTGGAACTGAAATATCTTTGCGGAAGGCTACAAAAATACGAATGAATCAAAGCTTTGAAACTTTTGCAAACTTAAAAGTTCGTAATGAAAAAAAAAATCCAAATAAACTTAAAGATCATACTGGAAACTACACAAATAAATGGAATGAAAATGATTGTTGGAAGGAGGTAGTTTCTTATGTGCCAGGTACAAAAATCAATTTTACTGAGCTAGCACAAAAATACAATGTTATTAACAGTAATGGTGAGATAGCTAAAAATGGGGGTCAAATTGTAAAACAGTTTCTATCAAGTAAAGGTGTTGACTTAAGTTGTTTGAAATATAAAGGCCAAGGAAATAGAATAATAAGACGATGTAAGAAGAAAATTCATGCAACAGATATTAGTATACCTGCTGAACCAACAATAAAAAAAATTAAGTTGAATATAAAAGAGAAAGTGTCTAAAGGAGAATATACCATTGGTGAATTAATTATACCACAAAAGTTCCAAATCCTTACAATAACTGATGATAAATCTTTTAAAACTACTGAGGTAGATGTAGCAGGTAGAAAAATCCCTCTTAATCATATCAGAAAAACACTTGCTGAAAAGCACAAATGTTTTATGCGATTACATTCAGAATCTGAAATAAATTCAATGAGCGATGGCAAGGTTAAAGAAGAACTAAATCGTTTAAATGAAAACGACAATAGCATTCACAAACTTCAGGATTTGCGAAAAAAACTATTATATTTTAACAGAAGAAGACACATACAAGTTTGGCATGATGGATCTACTGTAAACAACCATTCACATTTACTGTTTATGGTGAACTGTGTGTATGATAAAGCAATATATTACACTGAAAAGGAGTATTTTGAAATTCATGGTAAAAAAATTGACGTTCAAGCTCAGATTGAAAAACCTGAACTTTATATATTTGCTCGTTGTTCATCAACAGATAAACAGCTTATGTACACAAGTACCAGAAATGAAGATAACAGACTGTTAGGAGAGTCTATTGATATAAATGGTGAAAAAATTAATGATATAATGCGTTTTTTTCATGGTGATGCACCTGCCTGTCAGTTTGAGATTGGACAGCAAAAAGGAGGTGATTATCCTTGTTGTGCATGTCCAATTAACATAAATCGCTCTTATGATACAGCTTATTCATTTTATCAACCTCTGCTGAGTATAGAAAATAGAGTAAAGAAGCTCACACTTACTCAAATAAGCAGAAATAAAATAAACAAACAGCAAACTAAACTGTACAAAAACTTACCAAAACATGAAATTATTGATGAACTTAATGAACGAGGAATATATTTTCAATATAAATCACACAAAAAAATTCTTCAGCAAAAACTTGATAATGAAATGCATGGCATGCAGCGATTACCAGCTTTGCTGTTTAATGAGGATTTCGATGACTTAGAAAAGCTTTATTTAAGTAAATATGAATGATATGATCTTGCCATGTGAACCATTACATGATGTGAAAGGTCACACATCTAATCTTTATGAAGAAATCAGTTCTCATTTAAATACTATTGAACGAAAACTGTTTAAGGAAATGGTGAGTTTATCATTTGACAACAAAGATTGCAAACGTGGCATTGACTATCGCAAAAGTTTAAGTAAATTAGTTTTGACATTGAAAGGAAAAATTGATTCAAGAGCTTATAATGTTTTATTAACAATGTTTTACATTCAAGGCATACTGTATGGTAATGAACTCAGTAGAACAATTGAAAATATTTTGTTTCTTTACAATCAAACATTTTTGCATTCAATTTATTTAAAAGAACTTATAAAGGACAAACCAATAGCAGTTTCACAGCGAAAAATGTATGGCAAATACCAACATAACCTAATAGTACATGCCCCACACATGTTAAGAATAATCTCTGGAATATCAGCAAATGCTGAAGAAGAGGAAAGAACTTTTAATACAATTAAAACTATAAACAGTTCAACTACAAACCACAATAGTGAGCATGTGATATTAAACACCTTGCTTCGACTACAATGTCATAAAAGCTTCAATGAGGGCTGCAAAACTCAAAACCATCAACATGCAATAAGAAAGATAGTAAAAGATTATGAACGAACAGAAACAGAAATTCCATTTTGGATTATTGAAATGTATCCATGGATATGGCAAGGTCATTTAGAGCGGATATCAGACTACTTGTCAGAAGGTAATAATATTTGGTGGTTTGAGTCAAAAAATGGAATAACATTTAAAGATAAAATAAGTAATATTTCATCAAAATTGCAGCTACATCATTTTCGCTCATCCACATTAATGTCTGAATATATCAATCTTAAGAACATTTGGAATGAATGTTTATTGAACAAAACTAAAATTCCTGCACAAAAGATCAAGATTGAGTCGAACGAGGGTACTCAAGTTGTTAATTGTAACTCTTTAAAAAAATATATAGTTTTAGAAAATAAAAACCCAAAAATTCAAACCAGCACCAATGATTCTTTTATTCATTTTGCACAAATAACAGAGGAACCAGAAAAAGAAAGTTCAATTCAGATGCAAAAAATAATCAGATCAAAGAACCTAAGTATGGACCAAGCAACCAGTACTCCCCTTTTTATCTGATGTTTCAACCAAGCCTTATGTTCAACCTATTAAGGAAATCACTTCACCAATAAAGACAGTTTTTAAAAGATATCAACCCGTAGCAACTTCTTTCAATGAAATTCATTTATCAAATAACACCAATAACATAACAAAATCAAAAACAAATGTAGTTAATCTTAAAGACAAGGAAATATCAGCAATAAATTTGTTTAATAACACAGTTAATATTTAAAAAATATTAACTTTAAAAGTATTTATTAGTAATATATACATATAGTTTATATATATATATAAATATATATATATATATATATATATATATATATATATATATATATATATATATATATATATATATATATATATATATATATATATATATATATATATATATATATATATATATATATATATATATATATATATATATATATATATATATATGTATATATATGTATATATATATATATATTTTGTTGAAAAAAGAAAGCTTGTCTTTTATGCTACTTTTTGTTGAGATTAGCGCATAACTTGATGAAAGAAAATACTATATTATATAAATAAAATTATATGGCATAAATAATGAACAATGAAATCATAACTCATGCATCAAAATATTGTTAATAAAGTCTTATAAAATATAGACATAAATTTTTAGTACCTCCATAAGTTTATGTTTCTTTCAAGAAAATAATAGACAATTGGTTTCTTTTGTTTTTATAACAATAACTTAAAAGTAACATAAGTTACTTTTAACTTATTTTTTATAAAAACAGTTAAATCTTTGAATACTAAGTCGATACAAATAGGTATTATGGCTTCAGTAATGTATCAAAACAAAATATTTTTTGTTGTTAGCACAGCACTGAATGACATATATTGCATAAGTTATTTCAGCTGCTTTTAAAAATAACATATTGTTCATAAATATACCAACACAAATGTATTAAATTGTAATTAGGCTCACAAATCATGTCAAACAAACGCTACAAGATATCTTTGTAATAACATTGACATATCTCCAGCAAAACGATCAGAGACGCTTCGGTTACTTATAATATTTTGCCATTATTAATTATTTGTTTGCATAAATTAAATACCGATAAAGATAAAGTTCTTAGGATTGAACTAACAACCAATCAGATTTGATTAAAATTATCGGCTTTTTTTTTTACGAGTCTGTTTGTTCTATGCCTTAGTTGCATTGAGAAGCTATAAAGTATTACCAAAAGTAACTTTTCGTATTATCATTATTATTTTTTATTCAAAGTAACTTAAAAAATAGAAAGAAAAAAAATCGAATTTCGAATAGAAAAAAAAAGTCGAATTTCGAATAGAAAAAAAAAGTCGAATTTCGATTCTGATAACTACAAAGATTAAAAAAAATTTTTGTAATTCAAAATTAAAGGAAGTACATTAATACATCAGTATATTAACTATTCAACAGCAACATAATATAATGTTAACAAATCCGAAATATATCATACTTTTGCTACCAGGTTTTTTTTAGCGAACTTTTCTAAATAAATCAAAGTAAAGTAAAAAAAAAAAAACTAGAAAAAATTATATAAACTCGTAAATCAATAACAAAACTTCTATTACCTTGAAAATTATTGTTTGAAGTTCGCTAAATAACCATTTATTTCTTTAACCAATCCGTTTCTTTTTTCGGCCGCTTTGTCTACTAAAAGTAAAATAATTGACTAAGTTTTTATGACGAGGGGTTCGTTTGAATGTGTTTCATAAAATAAAATAAAGCTAGTTTAAAAAAGTAAAAAGTTTAAAAGCTTAAGTGGCTCCCGACCCTTTGATTATTAGTCGTACCCATAGTATTAATAAGTTTTAACAACGTTTAAAATAAACCTGGGTCTCAAATAAAGCAAAACAAAATAAAAGTAAAACATGAAAATATACTTTATAAATAATAATTGTTTTTAATGGAAACAATCGTTAATCTTTTTTTTATAAATATTTTCATTTTGATATTCTTATTTAATAATGCTTTTTTGAGACTGGCCATGTAATATAACCTGATGATATAAATTCTTCTAAATCATCTTCATCGTTCATATCATCTATTTTATCATCTTTATCTTCTTCAGATATTGAATCAGACTTTTTCTCATTATCATTTTCAATGTTTTCATTTTCTTCAGAATTTTCGTTTTCTGCATTGACATCTATACTTTCCTGGTTGACATCTTTATTTTCCTGGTTATTCCCGGTTGTTTTGGTGTCTTCTTCGTTGTCGTCGTTGTTTTCAGCATACTCTTCGTCAAGGTCTTTTGATTCAGAATCATCATCTTCTGCTTCAAGATCTTCATCAACATCTTGATCATCTTGGTTACCTTTCATACTTTTTGCATCATCATCAGTAAGTGTAGAGTCATCTGTTGCAAGTTCTTTCTCATCAGAGGTTTTCTCTGTGTCTTCTTTATTATTAACATCTTTGTTTATAGAATCTTCTGTTTTAAAATTTTTTTCATTAACTGCTTCAGAATCTTCTTCGTCAGCGTTTTTCTTTTCAGGTTCTTCTTCATCTTCATCTTCGCCATAATTTTCCTCGTTTAATTCAGTGTCTTTATCGATTTCCGCATCAAACTCAGTTTCGTCTTCATCATCATTTTCACTTTCCTGATCTAATTCATCATTATATTCGTCGTCATTTATTTCAGATTCACTTTCAAACTTTTCTTCTTCGGAATCTTCTTTATTATCAGTATCTTCTACTTCAGCATCTTGCTCTATCAAAAAGTTAATAAGTTAAAAATATCATATCTAAATTATAATTATTTGAAAACTACATTAAAATTACCACTGAACGGCGTCCTCATAAGAACTATTTTTACACTTACGCCCGTTTGCACTTATGCAGATTCGAAATTATGAGTTTTACATTTTATTAGTATTTATTAAATAATTTATATTAAATTAAGCATTCGCCCTCTTTATTGTAAAATTATAGCCGAAGAAATAATTCAAACCACCTATTGTTATAAGTTTATAAACCGGTTATAGGTTTACAATAAGAATTAAGAAATACAAAAAGTTTGTATTATAGTTATAAAAAATTTGTATATAACCAAAAATGTAAAGTTCAAGAGAAACAAAAAATATGCGAGATTTTTATATAGAAAAATTTTAAAGGTGCACTTAAAACTTCTGTTTACAAAAAAAATGCGGGTTCTAAACTACTTATAATAAGACCTCAGAAAGATTTATTTATTTGTATAAAAAATATAATTATACATACAAGTATAGTAGTAAGTATGTATATAGGTATGTATGTATACAAATTATAGGTTTATCTTTAACATTCAAAGACTAGACTTTGCGTCTTTAAGTAAAAAACAAAACAAAAACAAACAAAAAACGGTAAGATTAACGGTTTTGAAACTCAAGTCAAATTAAATCACCCTCGTTTATATGTTTAAATGAAACTTAAAACCTTTTATTAGATTTGTCAAAATCTGTCAGTTAGAAAGAAAGAATTTGCAAAAGAAGAAACGGAAAAAAAATACCTGGAGAAAACTCTGTTTCGATTGATTTCTTAATCTTTATACTTCTGCCAAATACACAAACACATAAAGCAAATACAAATATTATCGCAGTCTTTATTTCCATTTTTACTAAGTTTTAATGTCTAAATATATTCAAAAAACGCAGTTATACATTAGACTAGCGCCAACTTAAATCAGAAAAGGTTTACATGGACAAAGTCAAAATGTAAACATATAAAAAAATATGAACTTTACAATTAATAAATAAAAATTTATACAAATATCAAAAAATAACACCGAAAAAGACTTTTAGCCAAAGTTAAACAAACCATATAAATATAGAATATTTATCTATGTTATACAAATTTTCTAAGCAAAAGTTGTTAACATTTGTTATATAGTTAAATAAAATGAGGTGGGGGTGGGGGTGGTTGGGTTAAATTTATAAAAACTGCCGGTTGCTTTCTAAAAAAAAAAGCCCTCTAGATACATACACAAATATATACATACATACATGCATATATACATACATACAGACTACATACATACATACTTGTTTTAAAGCGTTACGCCTAGAGCGATTTACGTACGCCTTTTTACGTACGCTTTTTACGTACGCGTAGAGCTGTTTTGGTTAAGCTACTTTTTATCATTTTTTAACTTTTAAATTAGCGGTAACATAAAAGAAGTAATTAATTTTCAAAAAAACACATTAACTTTTAAATAACGATATGTAAAGGTATTTATTAAAAAAAAGAATTTACTTTAAAATTAATTGTTGTAACTTTTCATCGCGATATATCTTGCCTTTTTATAGCAATTAATTTGACGCTAAACTTTTTATCCAAATATTTAGCAACATGGAAAATTGTTTGTCAATCCTTAACTACAAATTTTTTGGAATGTTTTTAATAAAAAGTAGTAAAGTTTTTAGTAAAAAACTTTTAAAAAATCTATATTCTATATTTATTAATACAGAATATAAAAGTTTTTTGTAATATAGATTTTTTATGAATTTTTTACTGAATTTATAATAAAAAACATTTGCAAAAAAATTTGTAATTAAGAATTGACATTTTTTTTTAATAAAATCTCAAAAAATGTCTTAATATTTTTGTTATCATGATAACAAAAATATCAAGACATTTTTTCGAGATGTTAAAAAAAATGTCTTTGCTTTTCTTATTAGTTTAATAGTATATAGCTTAATAGTTAGTTTAATAGTATATAGCTTTTCTTATTAGTTTATTAGTATATAGTTTAAGTTATGCGGGGGGAGGGGGTCAGCACAGAAAAAAAAAATTACCTGTTACTCGCAATATTTGAATGAAGACAATTTGTTAAAATTCTTCTGCGTGCGATTCAATAAGTTTTTTTTTGTCATAAATCAAGTTATTATATAAGGTAAAGAAATCATGAGTAGACTACAACATCCGCTGATGACACTAATATTACGTTGAATATATTTATATAACGGAGGTTTTATTATGCACGCGCACATTACAGGTTCCGTTAAATAAATACTAAGGCACGTTTTAGTTTAATGACAGTCTCCATTTTTTACTGGTTTGTGTTTATCAATGTTAATATTTTTTGTTTACTCTAGAAATTTTTAAAAATAAAAAAAATCATTATTATTTTTTATTCAATAACGATTAAAAACAATTATTCAAAAACAAATTTCAGAAATAATTAATATATATATATATATTTTTTTTTTTACTAAATAATATTGAACTAAAATTAATAATAAAATAACAATTGAAAACATTACAAAATTTTCATAATAAATTTATATTTAAAACGTTTATAGTTTATATTAGAGTTAATTGTTAAATTGAATTAGTTTGCGGTTATTTATTTATTGCGGTAGTTAAAACACTTAACGCCTATAAAAAAAAATAAAAATAATTTTATGACGTCAAAATCGCGTTAAGCTAATGCATTAAGCACTTTTTTATTTAAAACAAGGCCTGATACATACATACATACATACATACATACATACATACATACATACATACATACATACATACATACATACATACATACATACATACATACATACATACATACATACATACATACATACATACATACATACATACATATATTGTATGTATGTCAGTAACATGGATGGAGGGTATGCATCCTCACCCACCAAAATCTGAAAGTCCGAAAATATCTTAGAAATTAAGGAACTTTTTTTTTTTTAAAGGAGGCGCAAATGTGATACAATGATACAAAATACAAAAATATTCCAACATCTACCACAATAAATATTCCTGGATCCGTCGCTGATGTTTATATGTATGTATTGCAACAGGTTGTGTTACAAAAGTGGCTTAATTAATTGACATTGTGACACTTTATTAAAAGGCAATTGCAGTGTAAAGTGTAGTTGTAAAGTAAAGTGTAGTTGCTCTCAATAAACATTTCGATATTTTAACTGATGTTTATGTAATATTGATTCCATTTTGTTGATATAGCTTAAGCTACAAAAGTATTTGGTACGGTACGGATAATTTTGGAAATTTTTTATTTGTGAGGCCATAACTAACAACTTCAGAGAGTTGAAGGTCCAACAGAAACCAAAACAAGATAATATTTAGTGTGCAAATAATATAATTTATGTTTTCCTTTTTTTACTTTTATCCGTATAAATTCATAACTGACGCAAAAATGCAACCAACAATCTCATAAAAATTATTATAAAACAAAATCCCAACCCATTCCGACTGACACTAGTTCTATACTTAATGCTATATTCTATACTTAATGCTATATTTTTTCTCTTCTATACTTAATGCTATATTTTTTCTTGCTTATTTTTTAAATTTTATTTTAAATTTTTCAAGAAAAGAGACGCCATGTCCACTATACTTTTTTCAACTTCAAGATATTTTGAATCATGTTTACTTTATAACGTGCGTGGTATTTTGAGAGTGTTTAGTAAATTCAAATCTGAGCTTATTTTATAAAAATAATTAAGATATTTTAGAACTAAAACAGTTATGGTTAATATAAATTAAAAGAAGTATGTTCGACTATCCTTTTTATTATAGGAAAAGAATTAATGAACCAAAGATAAAATATTTCTTAATAAAGCAATTCTAAAAACAATACGACCCAAAAGACAAAGCAAAATAAATGAAGATGAAATAGAAAAAATAAATAAATGACATTTTAGATAATCAATAATAAAGTGCAAACGGGATTAAAATTTAATCATTAAGTAGAAGGGCGGGTTTTAAACAAAACATTTTTTGCAATAGAGCATTAGCTAAACATTCTGTAAAAATATATTTTTATAAAATATTTATTTATCCAAAACGTAGTTAACAAATCTTTAATGGCAAACTCGATAATAGTTAAATAAAACATTCATTGATTTTTTCATTATTTTTACTTTAAAAGATAATTTTAACTAGTAAGTTTTTATTAAAGTAAAATTAGTACTTGTTATTATTATTATTATTGTTATTATCAGATATGTTCATCAATTCAATAAAAAACTTTGATGAAAAAAAATAAAAATAAAATAAAATGTTTAAATTGTTTATTTTATAATTTAGTGGTTATTTAAAACTAATTTTACATATTAAATTATCGAGTGTTTAAAGTGAAACCATTATTTAAAATTAATGTCTCGCTTTAAAAATTTTACATCTCTGTTAGTTAACTAAGCCTGTTACTAAATCATTACTAAGTCTGTTAATTCATTACTTAAGCTTGGTTTCCAATGGTTGTAGAAATGTCGTACAACAGATGTACAAGAATAAGGAAACATTTTCTTGCGTAAGTTGCACAACTTAACGTCGGTTGTACAACAAAATTTATGTTGTAAAACAAAGGTTGCGGAGGTAGATTTAAACCTATTTCGGCAACAATTGTTGTAGAACAAAACGCACAACTGTTGCACAACATTTCTACAACTATTGGAAACCAAGCTTTACTCTGTTAGTTAATGCAAATTAAAACTTAGAAAAAAAAAATAATTAAAATAAAATGGAAAAGTTTATATAAGTACGTAACATAATATAAAGGGATATTAACAAGAAAAAGCATATTTAAAATAAAACATTTTAGTTGCACCAAACTTACCTTTTAAGTCTTTGAAACAAACCAACAACTAATTTATGTAACTTTAACTTGCTCTTTTTATCGTTTTCTTATAATGACTGTATTGAATTTTAAGCCGAAAATGGACGGCCTTTTATCAAGTTGACACGCTTCGATGAATTGTATAAAGTTATTAATAAATCAATCTATACGTGGAGAAAATAAAGTTTTTGTAACGGTTCATAAAAGTACAACATTTTTAGAAAAATATATGAAATTTTAAATTATAAACACATTCCGCATATTAAATATATTATGTTATCTATTATGATATTTATCTATTATGTTTTGATCGGGAAAACGTTGAATAATGGGCGAAGCAATGTTTGGACCAAAATTACAAATTAGATTGAACCGAGTTATAGCGATTTAAAAACTATTTAAACAACCATTAAAAAAGCTTAAAACTTAAAGCTTACAGATAGCAAACTAAAACTAAATTGCCTTGAATATTTTATTTCTGTCCTGCTTGAAATATAAAAATAGTATGTTGTTTTGGTTTATCTAATTTCCTTAGCTTTCCTTATCGCGTCATGTTTTAATAAGACATAATTATCATGTTTTAATTAGGTTGCTGTTGATTATATATTGCCAAATTTTTTTAACATTAAAAAAAAATTTAAACAATTGTTTTTGCGTATAGAATAGAATAGAAAAGATGCTGTACACACTTGAGGTGTGTTGAGTCTTAATTACGTAGAATTAAGACCAGAGGCGATTTTACGGAAGGGGTGAGGGGGTTTTGCACCCCTCCTAAGATTGCGATTTTCAAGTTAAAGTCAGTTTTTATACAGATTTAGTCGGCTAGTCGGCTTTTTGACACATTTCAGTCAGGTCAATTTTCGCTTTGAGGACTTAATTTTTTTTTTTATAAAGAAGCCACCCCGTCATTTTTTTGTAGAATCGTCTCTGAATAAGACTATAAGAAAAAATAGTGTTCAGAAACCAAAATATTTATCAATGCTTTTTTTAAGAAGGTTTAAGTTATCTTTATCTATTCATTAAGGAAGTAGAATTCTCTTCCTCATCGATCGTTTGTAACTTTATAACAAAATAAGTTTAAACAAACATAGAAATAAGTTTAAACAAACTACTACAAAAACTACAAAATAAGTTTAAACAAACTACTACAAGTTAATTTTTAAAAATTATTTTAATTATTTTATTGTTTGTGTGTGGTTTAATATGGGGTTTTCAACAAGGCTTGATTCAAGGATCATTTGTTTTCAGCTTATAACTGTTCTGTTTGCGGACAGTGCTAGTTTTACTTCGGCCGACATTAATTAAGAACTTTGTTTATTAAATTCGAAATTCATTAGTATTTAAAAAAAGACCTTTTTGTAAATACGAATAAGTTACTTTAAATTTTACTGATTTAAGTGAAATATCTTTTATTGGTTTAAGTGTAATTGGGGACAATAAACTTTCGAGATTTTTCAGATACCAGAGTTTATATTTTCAGATACCAGAGTTTATATTGTACTAGGCATAATGATCTAACGATATTTATTTCTGTATACTTGAATATACTTTTTTTGTGTGGCAGTTATTACCCAGTGGGCACCGGACCAAAAAAAGACGTATTTTAAACGTTCAAAACGTTCAAAAGACGTCCAAAACGAGTATAAGACGTTTAAAAGACGTCTATTTTAGAAGTCCTAATGTCTTATCACAGGGCCGAAAAGCATTTAACTAGGAAGTTCACTCCTTCTCCTTTACAAATGTCATTTATTGGACTAGAACCGACGTCAAACCTTGGACCTCAGTTTTCTGAGCTAGAACTCTAACCACTGCGCCATGGCTGAAACGATATAAAGTACGACTAAAGAAAATAAAATAAGGTATAAAGAAATACTTGTGCGTTGAGTATCCTTTAAACTAATGTAGATCATTATTTTTAACTTCGTTTTTTTATCTCCATTTTTTGTCTCCGTAATGATAGTTTATGATTTATTGAAAACCAATAAAACAATAAAAACTCATTGTTTAGCAATCAGTGATTGCTACACAATATGGTTTTTGTATTGTGATTTACAATATGAGTTTTTAATAAAAACATTTTAAAATAAAAATAATTTAAAAAAAATATATATGTTTTAAAGTAAACGAATTAGCTATAACACGAACCATTCCACCAGTAATAGAATTGGTTAATTGGTTGCTTGCCAATCACTATTAAATACTTCAGATTAACCAATTCTACTACTGCGTGGTCTGTAAAATGGCTTATGTTATAGCCGATTCGTTTACTTTAAAGTATTTTTTTTTTAAAAAAAACAATGTTAAAAATATTGTTTTTTTTTAAGATAGTTATTTAGTACGCGACGACATATAGTTTTAAAAAGTATAGCAAGACTTATAAAATAATATAAAGTAATCATAGTATTATTTTAACGGTCATTTCTAAAATTAGCCTGATTTTTTCTAATTTTTAATTCATCTAAAATGTGATCGACTTTTTAATGACTAACTAATTTAGTAACTAAATTCAACTGACACTTCGTTTGACACGTGATGCTACTTTTGACACGTAACGCTTTATTTGACATTAACGCGTTACGCAGTTCACCTTTATTTTAGATTAGATTTGTATATTAATCATAATATTTTAATTCATTTTAAGATCTAAATTAAATTTTCTAAAAAGAATATTGGCTAAGTTTAAATGAACATCAAAAAAATAAGTGTTGAGTTCTAATATAACTGCTTTATTTAAAAACCTGAAACTTTGGTTTTAGTTTTTTTCTTTTCTTTTTTGATAATTTCTTTTTAATGACAAATGATTACAAAGAATTAATGACTGCAATGTTTTAAATAAAAATGACTTTGCAATAATAGAAACGAAGACTTAATGGAAATGGAGATAAAAATTATTTAGAAAAGAAATGGAGATAGAAATGACTTGTGCTATGCGTCTTAATATTGATGCGTTGATTTAAAACTAAACTTGAAGTTTACGTACCATACCGTATTATCAAATTATTGTGTTGTATTATTATATTGTATAGTCGTATTAATCATTCAAAATAAATAATTCTTGAAGAAAATTTAATAAATAACTTTATTCGCGAAGAAAGTTTTAACTTTATTATATAATTAAACATTAATGTAATCAAAATAATTTTTTTTAAATATTATAAAAATTATAAACTTTAGATATAGTTAAATCTAAAGTTCTTTTTAAAAATTAAATCTGAAGTGAAATTTAATTATTTTACAAATGGTGAATGTTAAAAAGGCGGAAATCGAACAATGCAAACTTTTGGGAAACTAAAAAAACGCGTATTTCCCCACTTTCAATATTTTTGTAAATGGTTTAGTTTTTTTTTTTTTTTTTTGAAGATAAAAAACATTATTTTCCTTAAAAAAAAATTATTAAACCATTAACAAAAATTTACTATAGGGGAAAATGCAGTATTTCCAAAAATTTATATTGTTGGACATTCAAATAGTATTTAGCTTATTGGGTTTTAGCATTTTTTTTTCCTTTACATATATAGAGTATTTCAGTTGTTGATTAAAATTACTCCAAACTTCTTTTTTATCTTCAAACCATAAAAGTTTAATATTGAAATAAATATATAAAGAAATAAACGTTTGATATTACTATAAATATATTACAGAACAGTTTTATCAGTATCTTCCTAAAATATTGCATGGTAAAATATGGTCATTGTTAAACGAACAATAGAAATACCGTTTAACAATGACATTGTTAAACGGTATTTCTATGGTTCTTCACAAGTCTATTTGAGTAGAAAATAAATCGCACATTTATTTTATAACTGTTCTTTACCTTTTTGGCTCACTAATGAATTTAAAATTGGCAAGAAAAAAATTTCTGACGTAAGTGTATAAAAAAGTGAAATGTGGGTTATCCGTAAAGGATAAAGGATATTTTTGTTAAATAACTACTTTATTGCTGTCAGAAAAGCCGTTTAGTTAATTATGCGGATCGGTTCGCATATTCCTCAGTATTTTTTATTAAAATAAAAATCGTCGACGTATATATGTTAAACGCATGTTAAAATTTGTCTTTGGTTTATAAGTGGGAGTATGATTTATTTCCTTTAACTTTTAAAGACCTTTTTGATTTTGAAACCATTAGGCAAGATTCACATGAGAAGTAATAACTATGTAAATGAACTATTCTATCGAACAAAATTTAATTAATTTAGTGTCACTCATAGTGGCTAAATCTGGAACAAAATTGTTTTACCAAATTTTGAATTACCCCTAACTTATCCTGCTTTTAAAATAAATTAAAGGATTTCATTTTCTCTATAGAAAATACCTTAGAATACTTTTAACTTATTTAACTTGTGACAAAATGCTTTATTGGTTTGAGCAATATATGTTCATATTTTATTTTATAATCAAGTACAGTTGATAATCATATATTTAAATACCATTTATTGTTTTAATGTTATTTTTGCTTAGTCTTTTGTAAAAAGACGTTTGTGTATTATTTTACGTACTCTCTCTCTCTCGTAAAAAGCTTTTGACGATAAGATCATTGTGATTTTTTTTTTAATTTTTTTTGTTTTAGGTGCCCCAAGAAGTCCTTACTGTCTTATCACAGAGCACCGCAGATGAGCATTTAATTGGAAGTTCACGCCTCCTTCCTAACCGATGTCGCAAAACTTACCCAGAGGTGGGATTTGAACCACGGATCATTCGTTTCTGAGGCAAGTTCACAAGCCACGGCTGCTCTTCTTTATTTGATCTTCTTTGTATTTGTAAAATATATATATTATATATATATCTATATATATATCTATATATATATATATATATATATATATATATATATATATATATATATATATATATATATATATATATATATATATATATATATATATATATATATATATATATATATATATATATATATATATATATATATATATATATATATATATATATTGGTCAGCATTTTTTTTTGATTCGGCCAAAAGTAGAATTTGGCCAAAATAGTCTGCATTGTTGTTTTTGAACCAAATGAAATAAAATTTTGTATTTGTTTTAGCAAAAGAATCAATGTATATTTTAATATATTTATGTTTATTTTCATAAATAAAAAATAGTGTAACTTTACGTTATAAATTCTTGGTATTTCTCAATGAACCACCGCTCCTAAAGTTGGCACGGGTCCCTCAT